AACCTAATTATTTGAGGACAAGCTGCTATCTTTCCTGTTCTGATCCTTGGGCTCCCCCTTGTGCCCTGATGGGAAATTCGCTCAAGAGAAAACCAAAAGTCCTCATGCTGACTGTAGGACTCAATAGCTCCCCAGAGCAGTTGTCTGCATGCTTTAGTGTTCATCACGGCTAACTACAAATGAATTATCAAGATCTGTGGGAAGCAGTCCGCCACGAATACTGCATTTTAAGTCAGCTTTTCAAAATACAGAGATGCAGCCAATAATACCAGAGAATCTGTCTCTGGAAGATGGAACAAGCAAAATCTATGTTCATCAACAGAAACAGCCCTCCAATTTTACTATGCTTTCAGTTGCTGTCTCTCTTTAGAAATAATACCATGCTCATCACCCAAATATTCTGAAATCAATTTTAACAAGAGATAGTCTAAGGTTTCTACTGTAGGTGATCCTGAGAAACCCTGGTGAACACAGTAAAGTTTCCTAAGAGGTAAAGCTTGCTGCAGGTCAAAAGAAAAATGTCATGTTCATATGCTTATGAGATGCCAGCCTTTAACCCCATGAAGTGATGCTTTATTTATGGTAAGATGTCAAAATGCACTGCAAGCCAAAGCCACCCAGATGGACTCTGCAGGCCAGACCCAGAGAGGTTAGTACAAAACCTAGAAAAGGACCTCAGAAGGCTCTAGTAAATGTAATGAGCACCAGAACTCAAACGACCCAGCAGAACACCAGAGTGATGAGAGGTGCTTCTGTTCCTGGAATCTTTGCATGCGTCTTTCCATAGACACTCTAGTTTGCAGTGGAAACTCCAGCAGTGGGATGCTCTGTAACCCAAGAGTGCCCATCTCTCTCTGTTCCTTTATCTATGGTCTATGCTTCTATCCTTCCGTCACATTCTTCTCTCACCTCGAATAGGTAAAAAAATAATAATAATCACTAATTGGTACAGTTATGCGGAGATAGAGCTGGTGAGAAGCGAATGCTGCTGTGCCTGTATATCCCCAAATGAGGCAGCCGCACCATTTACTGATGTTATCATCAATAGAATCCACAGTAGTTCAAGGTATAGAACAGCATGTGACATAAAAAGGAGAGCTTTAAAAATCTCTCAAACGAAGTTACAGAAAACATTAAATCATTTTCTTTTTTAAATAAATGGTCTTGAGCCTGACATGGTAGCATATACCTTTGACCCCAGCAGAGGCAGGAGGATCTCTGTGGATTCAAGGCCAGCCTGGTCTACAAAGTGAGTCCAGGACAGCCAGAGTTCTATCACAAAGAGAAACCCCAACTCAAGAAACCAAATATATATATGGGCTTAAGTTGAACAAGCAACTATCATCAATAATGTCCCTTAACTCTAAGAAGATTATACATCCTGAGCAATACACTGAAAATACTGAGGCAGTTAAGTGTTCCTTGTGGAGATAGTGGGCTGAATACAAATTAATAGTTTTCAGAGCCTAGGAATAATGTTGTAATATTGGCACCAAAATTAACAAGAGATCGAATAGATCGAATACAGACCACAGAGAGCTGGTACCTCCGTGTCAATCGGTTGAATATTCGGCATTATGTTCTACAGGCCAGATTTACCCTGATGATTCTAATTCCTCAGAAACCTGAGCTTGAAAATAGATCTGAACACTGTCTTCAACAACCCAACCCCTTTCAGATAAAGGAATCGTGACTCAGAGAGAGAGTCAGATTACTTAGTCCAATGACTTAACACCCAGGCAGGTAAATGTTGATCTAGTTCTAAGAACCAGGAACATTCCAATCCAGTCAAAGGAAACTGAGAAACAGTGAGAACAAACACAAGACCACAAACAGTGTCATTTCTTGTTTGTTGCCTAAATCATTTTGAAGAAAGGACACTGAAGGAAGGCAAATGGGACAAGGGAATGTCATTAAAGAGACTGGCCAGTAGTAAGACTGATGAGAATCTTTTCATTTAAATCATTGCCCTGACATATCCCTACAACAAACCCACCGGTCCTCTTGTTCTCTTCTTACTTTATTTCCATAAAGAATGTGTTTTAATGGTAACAGACCAGCTTTGCTTCTAAAATGAAATTCAACGTGGAATACCCCATAGCCAAAGTGAATACCTGGGGACTGAAATCACCCCTGCACCAGGTCTCATGGGGTTACACCGCATTTTCACAGCAGTCGATCGGCCATTAATGCAAGAGGTGGTAGCTGTAGAAGACCTGTTATAAAGCAGGAACTAGATCAAAGATAAAATACAAGACAAATGACCAGGACAAAAGCATCTCCTACAGAATGGTCCATGAACAAACAAAAAGGGAAAACGTATTAAAGCTTACTGATTTGGACCTTAACACAAATTCAATGTACTGACTTTCACTGCCTAGGTGAAGATGGTCCATTCCGTCAAGGCATTTAGTAAAATTACTGTAGTTTTAATCACAATTAAAAAAACAACTTTTTGAAAGAAACAGAGGAGGGTCAATATCGAAACATGTTTTGATATGTAAATAAGAAGCAATCACTGCTTAGGCCATGGACCAAAGTCTCCTGATTGCTTAATTTTAGAGACTGAGAGAGAGTGTCTGGTGTGTGTGTGTGTGTGTGTGTGTGTGTGTGTGCAAGGTGTGTGTGTGTGTGTGTATATCTGTGTGTATGGCATGATGTGTGTATATATGCATAAAATTACATAATACATATTATATATATATATGAATTATGTAATACATGAATTACATAATATATATTACATATTCTGTTTCTCACTTTTTACCAAGCCACTTAATGTCACATTCTTATTGTCCATTAAGTACAAGCTGCCATGCTAGGCACAGCGAAGTGACATTATCATTCTTTTATGCCACTAGGAAATTATAACAGAATAAGAACTAAAATTCATAGATTCCAATGTATAAGATCGTTATTTAAAAAAACAGTCCCAGGAAAAAATATCTTCACTTACTTGTAGAAGAAATGCACATCTGGTATTTGGCTTGGGGACACTGGGAACATATCCTCCTTGATATTAACATTTTGCAAGGCAGCTTCAACTGTGACTCCTGGATGACATTGAAAAATAAAGTCTGAGGCAGCAGGGGAGACTTATGCTTACCTAATCTCTGCACATCTGGGTGCTGAATACTTTTCCTTTGACAACCGTCCCCTCACTAAAAATATTAAAATAAGACATTCCAGGTAAAATTAAGAACTTTCCAACATCTCCAGAAGAAAAGATTGTAACCTCAGCCGTATAATCTAGCTCTTTCACTGCCCCCCCCCCCCGTGTGGTTTTCTTGTTGTTGTTTTGTTTTTCAAAAATTTGTGGGATATATACAGTGTCTTAGATGGTTTTTAAGGCCCCTTGTGGTTCTAATGTTTCAAAATCGATGACAATATTGTGCTCTTCTGCTGAGTTTTATCAGTAAAGACAGATTACTTTGCTAATATAATTTTTGCTCACCTTCAATGCAGACATGTTTATTTTGCAAAGTCTGCAGCTCAGACAACTTTACTGGCTGAGCAGGATGCGGAATCCACAACCTCTACCCAACCACCCAAAAAAGGGAAATAAAGGAGAAAACTTTGCCCTAATTCTTTCTAGGAAAAAAATCCCAAATTTGTATAATCAGAAAGACAGGGTTTCCCCTCTCACAGGTAAATCCCTGGTGGAATCAAATTTAGGGCATTGAGCCAGAGCCTGGTGGCTGACCTTGGTGCTGAAATTTGAAGCTCAGTACATTCAGCGTCCACAGCAATGTTCTCAGATCAGGTTCTAACCCATCCCAGCAGTTACACATAATTTGATTCCTAAAAACCACTAGAAAACTATATTCCTCTTAAAGCTTCCCTATATTATAGGATCTCAGACAGAAGGAACAAAACTCAAGGTACCGGTGCCCTTATGAAATGAGACAATCAAGCATGGCAGAACATACTATGACTTAACTGCTCTTTAGATTTTTGCAAAGAACTTCTATTTTTTTATATGAAGGAGGAACGTATCCTTTTGTGCAGATACACACATCCATGTGTATACATATGGAGGCTGAAGTAGACTTGAGATATCTTCTATCACTCTCTTATTTTTGAAACAGTCTTTCTGGCCTCTAGAAACCAACCATTTCTGCTAAGTGAGCTGGCCATTAAGCACCAGGAACTTACCTTTCCCTAACCTCCCTAGGGGTTTGATATAGGCACCAGAGCTCCAAACTCTTCACTTTTGTGCAGCAAACCCTTGAGCCATCTCCCTATTTCCCCCTTAAACTAAAGAATCCGAATAAAGGCACCTACTCTCATAAACATTATGTCCCATAGAATTCCATATGAAAATGAAGAACCGTCTTGTACTCTGAGATTGACCAACAGGCCTCACTCCTGTGGGATTTTTAACCATTTTGAAAAATGACAATTTATTGGTCTGCAGGCTTTAATCATGTGTGGTAAACAGCAGTACGATGATAAGTTATCATTATGGTAAAATAGGAATGAATGCAGGCATGCATACACTAGCCAAAGAAAACTTACCTAAAAATGTGTCCGCCAGAATGATAGACTGGGATGACAAGGCTGCCCGGAACCCTTTACTTTCAGAAGGAATAATAGTTGACTGGCACACAAATGCTCCAACCAAATTCGTGTAATCATCTGACCCTGTCGCCACTTCCTTGACTGTAAAATCTGAGATATTGTTGGTGCAGAGAGCCATCTTTCTCCCCTAGGAAAGCAAAGCCACAAGTGAAAGCTTCACTGGTGTCAGTCTTTAACCTTGTGACTCTTATCAGAATGGTTGCTTTCTCCTCGTCACGGAGATCCTCATTTGATTCATTTAGTTGCTCTGGGGGTGGTGCCTGCCCATCGGACTCAAGGCAATCCCAATGTTCAGTCCAGGGTGGGAGCTGATGAAGTTATTCCAGACACACTGGTCCTCCTACTACACGAATCGTCTGTTTTGGATGAAAGCCATAGAACTCCAGGAAATAAATATCATCTAAGAAATGTTCGTTTCGTAGGCATTCAGTGGAGGCAGCAAGCTGCTGCTGAAGATTTGAATGCCAAGGAAGAAACTCGCTCTCCCTTCTCCTTAATGAGTATGGTTGAAGGCCTAAAAGCTACATTGCTACAGCATCCTAGGACATCTAAACTCCACACTCTTGATCACTGCAGGTGTCTTAGTAACCTACCCTTGGACACAGTGGTATATCCATTTATATAATAATTTGAGAGAATGAAAGTGAACAAGAGGTTAACATTTCAGTCTGAGGCTGGTTGTATTTATGTAATGTTTAAATATACTGCAGAGCACTGCAAAGAACTACCTTGGTCCATAATTTCTACAAAGAAATGTAAAAAGAAAATTGAAAAGCTATTTTATTGACCTTAAAGTATATACACAAAGACATGAAACATAAATAGTTCTCTTTCTTAATGCAACTAGCAATTCTAACGTATAAATTTTCTCCCTCCATAAGGCTTTCTCATCACAAAACAGGGGAAATATATTTTTACTAAATTGTTGCAGACAAGAACATAACAGAAAATAGCTGAAAGTACTCAGGGGGGGGGGAGAAAGAAATTACAAAGAAAACAAGTGAGAATAACAACAAGGTAGGCCTAGATTATGCCTACAGTGTCCACATGGGTTTGAGGCTAGCCTGAACTAGGTAGTGAGTTCCAGGCCAGCCTGGGATACACAGCAAACTCACCCAAAAGAAAATGAAACAGAGACAGAGAGAGAATGAATGAAGACAAAAAAACAGAACAAAACAAAACAGAAGGAACAAACAGCAGTAATATAAAAATGGGACTGAGAAATGCAAGCATAATGGAATTATCTCATTCACTGCTTCATATTTAGGTGTTTGGTATGTATTCCTGTATTAAGCGGAATGAGTGACTAACCTTGTGAATGTGTTGAATTACGACCAGTAGAGTCAGGTCCTGACAAGTGTATTGTCTGAGTCAGGGTCCTATTGCAGTGATAAAACGCAGTGACCTAAAGCACCTGGGGGAGGAGCTTGTTTCATTTTACAGCTTGTTGTCCATCACCCAGTGAAGTCAGGGCAGGAACTCAAGTAGGTCAGGTACCTAGATGCAGGGACTGAAGCAGAGGCCATGGAGGGGTGCTGCTGACTGGCTTGCTCCCCATGGCTTGCTCAGCCTGCTCCCTTATACTACAACCAGCACCACCCACATTGGACCGAGGCCTCCTGAACCAATCATGAGGCAAGAAAATGCCTGACAGACCTGCCTAGAAGCCACGCTTATAAAGGCATTTTTTTTTTCTCAACTGAGAGACCCTCTTTCCAAATGACTCCAGCTTATGTCAGGTTGACAAAAAGCCAGCCAGAATATTCAGAAAAGAAAGGTTTATACATATCTTACTTAAAAATGTTCATGGTAACCAGATCTTTTTCACATCATTTGAACAAGTAAGTTCATCGTAGCATCTGATAGTGAAGATGATTAGATACAGGTCAATATGAAAAAGATATAGGAAAAATGTCTTATGGATATTAAATTTTTTACTTTGTTAATGGTATGTATACTGTATCATCTCTCTTTTTATCTCTCTTTCTCCCACCCCCACCCCTAATCTACAACCTCACATAGCAATGAAAATACAGCACCTACAGTGGCATAACTCTCCCAACAATGGTAACAAAATTCTACTTTTTCCATCCCACCAAATAAATCACATTCATCAGCAGAGGCTACTTTATCAATTAACATTTGGCCCTGTATATTTCCTTTTGAATTTGGGCAGAATTCCTCCTGGTGGGTTTTTTTCCCTCCTTTAAAAAAACATAATCAGAATGCATATTATACATCAAGACAGGCAGATTAAGGAATACTGAGAACTGGCAAAACACTAACTCAGGGTAGTGTTGCAAGGGTGCTTCATAAAAGACTGGTAGTGGGGTGGTTGCCTGAGGGATGGGAAGATTGCCTTGAATGTGGGCAGGGATCATTCATCTGGCTGAACCCACACAGAACAAAAAGGCAGAGGCAAGAATTCCTTCTTCCTGAGCCTGCCACACTCTCCTTCTGCCACAAACATTAGGACTTCAGGTTTTCTGACCTTGGGTCTCCAGGACTTACGCAACAGGCCCAGTGGTCAGCCTTCAGTGTTCTCTTATTCTGAAGCCCTTACACATCCCAGAGAGCCTATCACAGGACCTTTCAGGCTCCACAATTACATGCACCAATTCTTCACAAAAATCCCGCATTTATCTATGTATTTTTTTTTATCCCTAGGGAATCCAAATACAATAAGCTTTCTCAAACCACAATACTTTACCTATGTTTTTTTTTTTTAAAAAAAAAAAAAATAGAGATTAACAAGCTTAACCATTTTTATCACTTCCCACTTTCAGGAAGAGAGAGGGAGAGGGAGGGACTTGGTGTATCTAAGCCATGGCTACAAGGCTTGGAGGTCAGCTGATTGGATAGGCAACTTGACAGTCCAAGAGACAGATGAGACTACCCTGGCCGAGAAAGCAATCCTTTCTCTGCCTGTCAATATGATAAGTAACAAGATTAAAAAAAAAAAAAAAAGAAAAAGAAAAAGAAAAAAGAAAAAAAAAAAAGAATCCCCATTCCTGATATTATTTGTTGGCTGCCATGGAGATGTCACCGGTCACTTAACCCAGAACATATCTTAAAACTGGAAAACGGATCCGTCTCAGCGCAGGACAGCCAGAACTCACCTCATGCCCACATAAACTTATGTTGAAGAAATGGAAGTATCTCGTTCCCTTGGAAGTGAAGCTGGGGCCGCTCATTAGCGAGCCCACGCTGCTGAGGTTGCGGAAGTCATAGTGCAAAGTCTGGTTTTCTTTCTCATAGTAGAAGAAGCAGTCACTATAGCAAACCGAGTGGTCCTTCGTTTAAGGACAAAGAAATGAATAATATTGCAGAGAAGCTATTAATTGTTATTAAAAAAAAATTTCCAAAAAGTTCTAGGTATAAAATCTTTCAGTGATTTTTGTCTTATTTACATTTTGTCATATTAATGCAGAGGACTTCTAACCTCTAAATGTCTCTACAAAAAGTTCAGAAGAGTCAAGTTCTTTTTTTTTTTAATTAGTAATATTTTCTCATACTACCTTCTTATGGGAAGATAATTTAAGATACGGTAAAAACTTTCCATTAAGCCTGTTTTCACAGACAATACAACCCTTCCACTAAACTACCTTGACCCTCCATTGGTCTGATGTTTTTTTTCTCACACTTAAAATGCTGTATGCTGTGTGTGTTGCTTCTCATAGCATTCCTGCATCTGGCTTATGAGAGCAGCTCCCCTTCTATCTTGGAAGTGCACAACATAACAATTTTATTATTTTTGAAAACATTCTTATTTGAACATTTTTTTCCCCTCATACTTTGTCACTAGTAACTAGCATTTCCATGGCATGTATTCAGTGCTCACTTAATGGGAGAGAAGAGAAAACAGGAAAGAGAATTAAAAAGCATTTTTCCAGAGTCAAAAGAAATTCCACATAACCCCACTACCACCTCTTGAGATGCACAGACAGGAAGTACTTGGCTTTTCTATGCTTTGGAGAATAGCTGAAAGGCAGGCTCACCTGGGTGCTTTTACTTCCAGGCCCACAGGGAATGCAAGCTTCCTTGCCATAGACCTGGTGGATGGACAGGTAGGTGTCAGCTGGACACTCCTTGCACTGGTTGGTTTCTTTCTCGATGTAGTGGCCTGGGGGGCAGGGTACACATGATGAGCCCGACTGCTCGGAACCAAGGGCACAGGCACGGCATGATGATGCTACCCCATCAACCGCATTAGTGGCTGTGATGGAATAAATCTTCACCACATCATTGATGAAACGTCTGTTCTAGAGAGAGAGCAGAAAGAATGACATCTGCCTTGACAACTGCACAATCAAGTTATGATTATGTTGACATCACCAAAATAAACAGAGTGAACCAGACTGATAACTTGTTAATGACAGTGGGTGAGCTTTACTCCTATATGATAGTTCTAAATAAGAACCCTTAAATCTTGACATTAGGAGCCACTTTCCACAACCATGCAATTCCAGATGTATTGCTGCTGTTGGCATCAGGCATGTCATAACTGGCACAGGCACAGTTAAAGACTGTGTCCAAAGGAACAGCAGAGTAGCTTTATAGCTCACCTAAGTCCACTCGGGCAAAGCTCTTAATGACACGGTCAGATGCTGAAAGTCTGACACTGGGAAATCTTGGAAGGTGAGGACCTCTTTTCTTCACTCGAACACTGTGTGATTACTGATAGACTCATCACTTCTCCAATCCTTCCTTTCCCTGTCAAGCCCTTCCCCTAAGCAATACACTCTAATTTCTAAAAGAAGCATGTCGCAGGGGAAAGCAAGATCCTGAATCCTTTTCCTCTTATGGTACAGGATTAAGGCTGGGTTTTTGTTACCGTAGCACCCAGTGTCATACCTGGCCCACTTAATGCTCTTCTTCTGGACCAAGATGGAAAGGCATAAAGGAGGAGATAGAGTTTGAGCCAAGTCCATCCTCTTATGTTTATATTGTCAATATTAAATAACAATTCCTAAAGAACAACTGAAGTAAGCTGGGTGTGGTGGCACACTCCTGTAATCCCAGGAGGCAGAGGCAGGTGGAGCTCTGTGAGTTCAAGGCCGGCCTGTTCTACAAAGCAGGTCCCAGGACAGCCAAGGCAACACAGAAAAACCCTGTCAAAAAACAAAAAACAAAAACAAAAAAACAACAAAAACTGAAGTCATGTAAAATCTGGGGACTGGGTTCCCACTGAAAGTCTGAACAGAAAAGAGAAAATGCTACATGCGTCACCACTGCAACGAAACTACTCTGAGAAAACGTTCACCCTGTTCCCATTTCAATAAAATCACTGAGGAGAGACACAACAAATAGCATGCCTGAGGCTCAGTGGCAAAGCGCTTGTTGCACAAGCGTCAGGACTGGAGTTTGACTCCCGAGCAGCCACATAAAAACTAGGCATGGATTCTCTAAGCCCAGTCCTGGGGGATTGGAATGGGACAGACAGGTGTTTTGAGGGCTCTCTGGCCTGCTAGAGTCTAGCCAAAATAGCTGGCTCTAAGTTCTGTGAAAGATCCTGTCTCAAAAAAAAAAAAAAAATGTTGAGAATAATTAGATGATTTCCAACACTGACTTCTGATCTACACAAGACACACATCCACACACATACAAACACAGGTAAAGATAGCAAACACACATGGATGTACTATACTATATATAGTATATACTATACTATACACTAATACACACACACATACTCCAAAAGTAGATAGATAGATAGATAGATAGATAGATAGATAGATAGATAGATAGATAGATACATAGATACATACATACATACATACATACATACATACATACATACATACATACATAAATTGAAATATATGATAGAATTTTCATACAGAGGATTAGCTCTATGCTACCGATGAAAACCACAGAAAGGCAATGGTTGCCAGTGTCCTACCATTCTGTATACAAATGCATTCGCTCTAAAAGGAGATAGCATCGTAATGCAAAACATAAACTATATTAGTTAATGATATTAAACAAATAGTAATAGTTGGATGCAAGAGAATAAAGTTATGAACTTCTCTACCTCACAAATATTTTAAAAGAAAGCTTTAAATAAAAACAAAATTGAATTTTTCTCTTAAGCTTCAACAAGTGTATTTGCTCATATCTCAAAACAAATAAGAGATTTGTGATCAATCCAGCCATTTCATACATTCATACTCTCAAAAAATTAAAAGTTGTCATTTTATACCAATTCACTCTATAGTAAGGTGAATGACTCAAAGAAGCATCTTCTTCAGTTTGAGTGACAGCTTTGTAATCATCACCACAAACAATCATCTTTGTATTTAAAAGGAATAAAATTGACAGTAGTGTGCGAAAGACTGTGTGCACCTAATGGTGCCGCTTTAAAGTTCTCCGTTCTCCCCATGGAATTCACAGTGTCCCATGCACAGAGTATAATGCTCTACACGGATATCACATTTTCATTCCCCAACCTCCTATTTCCACGCATAGAGTTTTCAGTGCCCTGTATGAAGCTCATGATGCAAGTTTACCATTCAGGGTGCACTCGAAAAGGGCTTGTGTTGTGTCGTTAAAGGATGTATAGTCCGCTGTATACAGGCCAGAATGTATTTGCATAGAAAACTCAGATCACCTGCACATAGCTTGTGACGACCTCAACAGAGTTCATATCTACTTATGTAGAGTACGCATGCCCTTTCCGAGTTCATAATGACGTGTACAGGGCACATGGCACTCCTGTATACCGCTTTCAGTGTCTCCAGTAAAGATCAATATGCTCTGAATAGAGACTGTAACCAAGGGAGGCTGTAGAGTAAAAAAACGGTTGAAACTTACATCTTGACCTTGATTTGTTCTCTGGAATGCCCATGTAAATGTAAACGTTGCGTTCTTGAAGATGACGTGTGTATATGCTTGCTTTTCTTTGGTTCCTCCCCACGATTCTACCACATTGGTACTTTTTCTGTTTATATCCTAAAACAGTAGAAAAATAATTACAATAAAACACAAACTAAGTACTAATACAAATACACATCCATTACTAATATGTACTTTTATTTGGAAAAAGTTGGATAGGATTCATGTCTTTTTTTCTGTTGCACACTAACTGTTCTGACCTGACAACTCTAAAAACTCCCTCAAGCATACGTCAATAAAATGTTGACAAAAATCCCAAATAATAGTGTGTTTAAGACACATACTTACAAAACATTTTTTTAGAAGAGAGAAGATTTCAAACTTCTCACAGAAAACTTCTAGGATCCTCACTGAATAAAAAACTTCCAATTTGTAACTTTTTCTTCGACTCTAAAAGAACCATTTATAGAAATTCTAAGTTTCCCTCTGAATTGTACTTGCTACAGTTTCGCCCAAGTGAAGGCTAACCAAAATGTTATCCCATGCTCATGAAATACCTTCTGGAAAGTATCTAAAGTCCATAAAGTTTCATTTATAAACTATTTTATTTCTGATTTTCTTAGCTAAATTTAAGAAAATAACCATGTAGATTTGAGGTATTCCTACCAATATGCCACCAGTAATATGACTCGAAAGCAAATACAATAACTAATACAATCATATAATTTATTTAAAATGAAAATGAAGGTTAAATCTGGTTTTAAGTCAAACTTTCCTGTATAATTTCTAATAGATAACTTATTTGTATTAGTTATTTGGGAAGCTGGAAGTAGGTTGACATGGCCTCAAAATTTGTCTCTTCCTAGAATATTTATAGAAGAATCAAATATATTATTAAGCAAATATGCCAACAGAAGATACATCTTCTGTTCACCTCATAGATAACAATTCAGAAAAAATGATTCCCACATGCTACAGAAATTTTATTAGCAAGTAACCAGACTGTCATGTTTGCCATTTACACAAAGGAGTTCGTAACATATGGGTGGTGTTTCATTAAACATTTTTCTGAGTTATAAGAAGTAATTTATGATATTACTATAAGTAAATGTAACTTTACATTGTAAAGCATTCTTATTTGTGGTTTAGTTTGATAATTCAAACTCCTATGAGAAAACCAATCACACAAAAAAACAAAGAAAGCTATCAAGCTCTGTCATAAGCTACGTCTCTACAATGACTTATAACATGTAGCCTTGGCATGGTGGTACTCTGTAGAGGAAGAGACAGTGGGATCACAAGGTTAGATAGTGAGAGCCTGTCTCAGTAAGTAGATTCCGCGGGATGGATTTTTTTAAAAGAAGAGGACATGGAATTAGAGACAGAGATCTATTAGGGAGAAATGGGGGGAATGGAGACAAGAAATGGAAGGTATCTATCAAAACACATTGTATATATGTGTGAAATTATCGAAGAATAAATTAAACGTTATTAGAAACAGAATGACTAATTGGATGACATGAGACTGCTACCCTTGGGATAGCATGATGGGGGGAAAGAGAGAAAGGCACTGATACAAGTAACGTAGGTTTGGGTTTTGTTTGTTTCCCAAAGAGTTTTACACGTCACAGAGACTTGTGAGTTTTACTTAAAGGAATAAGAAAGCATTGACAAAGAAGTGAAGCTAGAGCTGCTTCAAATATGTATGGAAGTTACTGGACAAAAGGGCAAACAGAAGCATGTTCCAGCTTAGATATAACAGCACAGGAAGTGGAAAGTGCAAGGGGCAAAGTTTTTCAGCAAAATTTTCAGTGAGACCAAGAAAGGTGCCATCAAGGGCTATAGACGAGGTATGCTCAGAAAGGCTGAGGAGGCCAGAATGACTAAAATGCACATTGCCAGATCCCATACACAGAGAACCTTATTCATTAAGATGGGGCAGTTGGGGGAAAGACATGAGAATGAAGCAACACTGTGCATGCTAATTTTAAGACATTTTTTAATAAGAAATGGAAATAAGAGTCACTGCGTGGGATAGGAGAAGTGTTGATGTCTGCTGCTGATACTGTCATTCATAGGATGACTCGATGGTAGCATGAATGAGAGGAGATGGAAACAAAGGGTGGAGATCACTGAGCTGGTCAAGGGATGACAGGAATCTGAATTTCTCCAATAGCACTGAGCACAATTCAGTAGGTTAAAGACAGAAGGCCGTGGCTGGGAGGACTGAAGACTCACTGATTGTGAGGAAGAGGGCTCTACTGAAGGTCATCCATGACCTTTTACTGTCCGCACATCAGCCTTTGGCAATCACAAATAAAATGTTCAAATAGTCACGTATCTTGGATATCATAGAAGAAATTCTTTAAGACTAAAAGTTCACTGGAGACAAACTAAATACAAGCTATGAAGTCATTATTTAATTAAAATGATAAAATTTCAGCCAACAAATATCTAAAATCTACATGAGGTCTTGGTGAATTCAGTTTGTTACTTTTCTCAAGCTAGGAGTTGAAAATTAAATTCATCTAGAAAACAAATAAGCAAATTTAACATGAGCATGGTAAACTCGCTTGTCTAAATGTCTTAGTTAAAAAAGAAAAACTTTTTTTTCTTTCCAGTATTCTCATCCTCCCACTTTTTTCTGCCATCACTTGTTAATACATCTTCCCTTCTGATGTTTTAATTGCTAAATAGTCAATTATTAGGGAAAGCGTTTCATCAGTACAAACTCATTTTCCACAAATTAATATTCTGTGGCTTTAGCCGGTCACCTGGGAATCCTAAAGATGAGGAATGAACACTTAACTTGTTGATCCTTATTATACAATTCCTAGTAAATCCTTTAGGTGTTTTAAAAATATTTTGCAAAGTTCTAGGAAGGGCAAATGATTCTTAACCCCAACTTACATACATACATTCAAACTTGAAAGAGAACAATAGGCTTTGAAATCTGCTTTCAATCACTTACCACCATGAAGTACAGAACACAGTCAGCTGAGCAGAGAGTCTCAAAGACAAACGTTATTCTTCCTAGCTCAGAACCTGTGGCTCCAGTCAGAGACGTAGGGGGTCTACATGACAGATTAAAGTTTCAATATCAGTAATATGTTCCGAACGCAACTTGAAACAAGATTAAATTGTGTGTTCTCCTTAAACTGAAAACCCAGCTCCTTTCTTTAATCTCCTGTGTCCTGAGGAAGCACAGACCCTTTTTCTTTCAATCTGCCCGGCCAAACGCTTGTTGTGGGCCATGATGATATGCCACACCCCTTCCCGGCTTCCGAAGGACGGGAAAGGCTCATGCTGACAAGTCTTAACATAAGAGACTAAAGCAGAGACATAAATAAATGTGTAACATAGTAACTTACAGAGAATTGAGAAAGACAATAGACGAATAAGCAACAAAATAGGCTCCTGCAAATTACTTAGACTAAGTCTTCCCTGTTAAAGAGCAAAGAAACATGGATGTTACGGAGGGTTTGTCTGTAACGCTGGTAACACATTTCAGCTCTATCTAAGGGACACGTGTCTAACGCATACAGGCTCTTAGTGACTAATTCCGTAGGCCCCTATATATCATAGATCCCCCTCTGGCATACTGCTGTTCACTTGATAATTGCAGCACTCTCCTGCTCCCCTATGTCTACAATCACAGCCAGTCCTACTCCCCTATTTCTCTAGAGGAGGCGAAGTCTCTCTTAGTAAGAAGTCAGATGAGCGTCTCTTACTTAAATCCCGGGATGTGTAGGTTTAGGATCAGATAGTCATTGTCAGAGCCTCCGGCCCCACTCCGGATGTGATCTCCAGCCACCTCCCAACCTGACAATGAGAAAGGACGTTTTATTAGTAAAATATCATCAATAACAACAACAACAACAAAAAAGTTAAATAGGGCAACCGCAAAAAGCCAAATTATTTATTCTCAAAGTTAGAAGCACTCCAGAAAACCCCGTCTTTCTAAATATCAATTGTAGAGTGATGTGGACATACTCTTGTGGATACCAAGACATTCTGACTGCGCCACTTGGCATACAAGCTATTTAACGTGAGACACGGCGACAGTTTCCTCAGTGAAGCATGACTTTTCAGACTGAAACAGATGGTCCTTATTCACTGCAACACAGTGAGATGGAAAATCCCCACCTTGCTGACAGCCGGTGGAAAACTGAGACTTCAGCTCACTTACCAAAGATTTAGGGTAGGAGTTTACTACAGTTTGCGTAGTGTTACGTCCCAATTTAACTCTTACTGTCAATGAGTATGGCAGGCATGGGACAGCAAATAGATTTCCCTCCCTGGGGAGTAGAAAATTTGAGGCACAGACATGCTAACAAGGGTCAAAAGTGTGAGGTGACAGGATTGTGCACAGAAAGTCGCATGGGGTATGTCCTTTACACAGGAACAACCCACATACCATAAGCCACTTTAAGATGAGTATAAGTGATCGACCCACAGATAGCATCAAGCAAGTTTATCAGCTAAGGGCAGTACCTTAGTATTGACACATCTCCAACCGTTACATATTACTTCAAGAGATGTGGTACAGGCATTCATATCAGTACTAGCTTGGTAACTTGGCAATCTCAATTATAATAATTTATAGGAAATTGGTATATTGAATACACACCAATAAAACAAAATAAAAATAATGTGTGCTCTTCTACTAGAGAAATGTTAGTAGTTCTGCTGCCTAAAGGCTCCCATGATTGAACGCAAAGAAAAGCAGCTACCAACTCCTAATTCTAAGAGGGGAGTAACCATTAAACCCTGGCCCAGTGAGAGGAGCATGTAGATAAGAGGAGAATTGGGGTTTTAGACAACAGCTATGTGACAATGGTAACGGGATCAAGACATCCCATGCAGAACAGTGAATGCCAAGAACGACTGTGGTTATAGTTCTAAGAACAGCTCTTTGAATCTATGAATGCCCTGAAGAATACAGGGAAGGCAAGGAAAAGGCAGTGGATTGCGTGTAGGGCTCATTGTGCTTCAGGTAGAAATAACTGCTTCATGGTGTTCCAATATCGTCTAGGGCAGAGCCACCACCTCCCCCACTACTTTTCTGTCTTCACTAAAAAATACAGATTAAAGACTTTCTCACTTACCGCAAACACTGATTTTTTTATAGCCATGCCACAAATATCCCCCCACTATAAATCATCCTACAACTAATTTTATTTAAGTATATCCCCACTGTTGGAAATTTGTTTCCTCCTGTTTTTCATTCTTACAGTTAACATATTTGTGTATAACTTCCTTCTTCATATCACATTGTCTCACTGGTATAGATCTCCAAAAATAGTATCACTGAGTTGGATGAATTCTGAAAACATATTTTCAAATATCTTTCAATGTACTTTCCATATAATAATGACACACATAATATTTTATTATGTTACCTACCTTTTGTAGGTAAACATTATTCTACTGCTGGAAAGTTAGGCTATTTCCACTTGAGTTTTTATAGATAACATCCCATTAATCTACTCATGAAAAATCAACTTTTCTCCAACTTTGAATTTCTTACAGGCAAAATTTCAGTATACAAAAGTTGGCTCTTCATCGCTAATTCACAACTTTGTCAAATTCAGACTTTCGGGAATATGAAAACACTTCAACCATGCATCCAAGTCCAAACCAGCCTAGACACACCCACTTTACCTCTCCAGCCAGGAAGAAGGAGACTCCCTCCTCAGGCCAGCTGCCCCATGCCTTTCCACTTCCCCCTACTGTGTGCCGCTCATTAAAGGAGACTCCAGGTCACTCCAGACACACACCTCTTTTTACCTTTTGTATTCCTATTTTACCTTTCTGCTTTGAGCTAATTTTAAAGTATAGCCTGTAAATAAATCAGTAGTGAGTGAGTAAAGCAAGTATTGATGGGAGAGTCAGGGCCTTCTCCAATTCTGATGATGTGACTAGTGAGTGAACACAGACGTGCTAGTCCTTCTGTGGACTCAGTCAACGCCCTTGCTTGTCCACTCTCATTTTCCTAATTGATCTTAAATTCCTGAGTTCAAATTCAATCATAGGTCACATCGTAGAGAGATGACTATTGTAGTGTTTTCTCTTCTGTGGGGAGATAAATTCCTAAAGGTGATATATTGGTCAATAAAGAACTTTCTGTATTTAATATACACATCATGTCTTGGACTTTCACTCATCTGTTGACTCAAAATTATTCAACTCTGTTTCTTCAGTTGATCTCATACTCAGGTAAACATCTCATTTCCTATGTCCCAAATCTGTTTTGGAGAGATACTGATGTAAAACACACAAATATAAAACTCTATGAAAACCAATGGACAATGATCAAATCTAATACGGAGGAAAGTAGAATGATAAAAGTGATGGTGAGCGGCTATAATTGGAGGATGGATTTCATTGATTACCCATGTTATTTAGAATACTTGTTGCTGGTGTCAGATTTTTAAATGAATACGACCAACAAGTATTGCCGAAAGAATGTTAGCAACTGTCCTATAGAATTCTCTGCCATGTTTGCACGTTTTCATTCAGTAAGTGGGATTCAGCAGCATCTTATGAGCACAGTCGTGGACTTCACCGGAAATGGAATTTGAAATCTTTAACTCTTTACTGTGACACAGCACCGAGGCAGACTAAAAGGAGTTAGTAACCTACTGTTCCTTAGAGTGGTAAATGACGTAGATGCTATGACCTTCCTTGAAACACCTTGTCTGGTGTTTGTGACTTTCAACATGAGTTTCAATGTCTACTTCAAAAGTGACTACATAAAATGCAAGGTTAATACAGCAGCCCATCCACCCTCTAATCCCTCCTATGCACATCTGCCCTGGGGAGACAATCTCTAAGACCCCACAGTGGGCACAGCAAGCCCTACTATTTTATACCTTTTCCGTCTTAGCACTTACTACACGCTGCCAGTTAATTTCTGCATTTGAGGTGAGAGCCATGTTGGCACGGAAGTTACTTTTCCTTCTTCACAGCTTAATGGCTAAAAGCTTTTTCTTACCATAGATTTTAGCAACTTCAGCATGTAATTTATGCTCTCTCTTTACTAAGTTGAGAACTTTTGCATTTTCAGCTAAAAGGGTGGAAGGGAGGGGGGTGAGGGCTTGACGGATTCTCTTTGGCATGTTCCTTGTGGGTTGAGATTATTGTTAAGAGAGTTATCTGAACACAGATATTGTGAAACCTGAGCACTGGATGTAAAAAGAATGACGGCTACTAAGTCACTAGTGGACAGGAAGCAGAAGTAACCAGACAAAGGGATAATCATCATACATCATAGGCTGGAAAGAAACAAAAATGGCGTGATGTTTCAGTAGCTACCTACAACAACTGGCCATTTAAAACTTTAAGTATTTGGTTGTGGGATTTTCTAATTGATCTTTACATGCTGCTATTGATTGTAGAAAGCTAGAACTAAAGACAGTGCAGCCACGGGGAGGGGAGAAATACTGTAGATTCTATCGCTTTAGGAAAGACACCTGACTGATTGCTTGGTTTTTCTGAAAGGGCTAGAAGACAGACACACGGCCGAGTGAGACAAAGTTCCTTATAAATGTGTCTGGTATGTTTTAAAAAAGCTAAGTCTGAAAACAAATGATGTTCTTGCTGCCAGAACAGTTTAAATAGACTCCAAACTCACCGTTCATTCCATCGCACTTGGAATTCCCAACATTGAAGCAGGAAGTTTTCATATTGGCTGGGAGGACGTTCCACCATTTGTATTCAAACCCAAGGGCCGGCTCTGTCCCTGCTGGACATGCCTTACATTCTGCAGGAGACGGGTGAGCACACAATCACATTAGGCTGCATATGGGTAGCTTGGCCCGTGCTGAGCACCTCTACACTACAATTACCAGAGAAAAGTGAGGGAAAGATGCTACGGGTTACCAAGTCCCTTGGTAACTTTTTCAAAAGAGGTCTGGAAATTTTTCTAGATAAAGTACTGACACATGTCTTTATATCTGGTGGGCTTGTTTGTATGCTGCTTCCTATTATGCACACAGACACACAGAAACACACACATACACATAAATGAGTGATTACCCATGATCACCCAGTAGGATAGGATTATTTCTCAAAGAATAATTAAATACATTATCTTTAAAGGAGGCAGTCACACATACAAAATGCCAATAAGATGGTTCTCATCAGATGGTAAATAAGTCATCATGGTCTCACGGTCCCATTATCACTATTTTTCAACTGCTCTCCATCTTAACAAAGTAAGAAATATGTCTTCTAAAGACTTCTCCAAAAAAAAGCACTCAAGAACGAGAACCCAGGCCTCTTGAGATTGTTTTGCTGAAAGTGCAGTTCATGATAGACACCCTACCCTTTGTTCCATCTGAAAACGTCCCAGGAGGGCAGGGATGGCAAGAAGAAGATCCGTTGTTATAGAATCCCGGGTTGCAAGGGGGACAATCCTTCTTCTCTCCAGAAGGGGGCAGCCTAATAGCATCCGTGAGATCCTCCCTGCAGATTTTCGGCTCTATCCACTTGTACATTATCTGTGTCTGAGGTAAAAAGTTTTAAACATTAAAACTAAGAGCAAATCACATAACAGCCTTCCAACAAAGATGATAAGCTGACGAGCTAAAAAACTACTATAAACAGAAGAGGGGGCTGAGAGAATCTAAAACACTGACAAAATGAGAGAAAAAGACGAAACTTTCATTAATACGCTAAGGAGAAAAATTAAACATTGGTAGGAAACTAATCATGACTTGGCGTGCATGTACGCATGTGGGTATAGTGCATATGAACATATGAAGAGCTGAGATCAATACCTGATGTCTTTTGTAATTGCTACCCACCTTCTCTCTCCGTGTGTGTGTGTGTGTGTGTGTGTGTGTGTGTGTGTGTGTGTGTGTGTAGGACTTGCAGAGGTTGGGTCTTTCCTTCAACCTCATGGGGGATTAAACTCAAGTCAGCAGGCTTGGTGGTAAATGACGTTCCTGGATGAACCATCTCTCCAGTGGCCCCAGATCGTTTTATGAGAAAGAGCCTCTCACTGAACCTTAAGCTTGTAGATTCAGTTAGACTGGCTGGCCAGCTAGTCCTGGGTACCCTTCTGTCTCTACTTCTCTGGGTCTAATAATACAGGAATGGATGCCTATGCTCATTTTTTAAATGTGAGTTCTAGACAGCCAAGCTTGGGTTCTCATGCTTGTGTGGCAAGCGCTCTGCCAAGCAAGCCATCTCCTTAGTGCCTGGAAATGACCATTACATCACAACAGCTTTTTACCTAAGTCGAAAGTACCCTAGGATACAGACAGCATGCTCCTTATCATGAACCCCCCTTTACAATGTAAACAACTACCACATGGTCACCCTGAGCACATACATATGAGTAACATTATACAGACTGAGAAGGTGATGCCTAGACATATCTGCATACACATATACATGTGAAAACAGACAATGAAAAACGAGGCTGTGAGTTTGAAAGAGAGCAAGGAGGGGTATTTGGGAGGGCTTGAAATGAGGAAAGGGAGAGGAGAAGTTATGTAACTATTTTTATGATCTCAAAAATTAAAGACAAATTATAAACAAGTGTTGCCCTTGCATCCATCCATTCACTTCAACTTGCAGCCAACAGCTTCAGTGAACTGACTTTTTTCCTGTTTATTCGTGACCTCCATTGCTCCCTTCCTTTCCTTAGCCACAGCCTTTATTACCACACTTTGCACATAGTAATCATCAAAGGAAAAAAAATGTTATTTTCAAAAAAAAAAATAGACAGAACTTCATGGGCAATTATAATAATTCATAAATACAGTAGCTCCTGAATCCTTTTCAATAACAAGAGCTGTAGATAAACTATTCTTTCCAGAAGCTTCTAGGCCGTTTGCACATTCTCTGCACATCAGGACAAACAAACCCTCTGCCCTCCATGAGCACAGTCAGCTAAACCCCTTCCTGTTGTCCTCCCCAATATGAAAAATTTTTAAAAAGTGGTAACTCACCTACACCCTAAAAGCTGCCCATGCTAACATTAATTATTCCCACTTTGAAACCAGAATAACAAATAGGTTAGCTGTTTTAAAGCCAAATTGGAATATGAACATTGAGGGGTAAGAGGATGCTTTCCACCATAAATACAATAGTAAATCAATATTATAACTAAATAGAGGTTTTTAGAAGAGAGATAACTGTTCCTTCCATCCAATAAACATTTGAAAGTATTGTTTGTCCTTTAAAACAGTTCAGTGGGAAATCTATTGAAGCTAGAGACCTAAAGATACAGTCAGTCCTCTATCACCATTTCTAGTCAGCAAGACCGGGCATGGTGGGCCCTGAAGGCCACTCAAGTATGTCCCTTAAATATGTTTGTGGAAGATACAGTCATTATCTTGTATGAAGAAGGATGCTAAGAAAAATGGTTTAAGTCTGGATGTCTCTGCAGAATAATAAATAGTATTGTTTTCTCTTTATAGCTCCCTCTCCACATTCATTTAATGGCCCAGGTCATGATATGTTTAATGGGCAACTTTCTGCCTCTGCCTCCATGACCATCTGTAAAACCATGGCTCCAGATAATTCTTCCTAAGTAGCTAAAAAAAAAAAAAAAGTCAAATAGATACTATATCCATAAAAGGCCCTCAACTCCCCTCAAGAAAGGCAGTATAAAATTCAGAGAATCTTTTTTTGTTTGTTTATTTGTTTGTTTTGTTTTCAAGCCAGGGTTTCTCTGTGTAGTCCTGGCTGTCCTGGAATCACTTTGAGACCAGGTTAGCCTCAAACTTACTGAGATCAACCTGCCGCTGCCTCCTGAGTGCTAGGTTTAAAGGCATGCACCACCATTTCCCGGCTAAAATTTGGAGAATCTAAACAAAGAACCATTACAGGAGACACACTGACTTTAAACTTCCAGTATAAGATGTATTTTAAAAAAATCCTAGTAAATTCACTAATTTCCTGACTCACATTAATAAAAGTGTCTGAGCAGCTACATTTTGGGGAAACTTTGGTTCCTACACAACAGAAAAGATGTGGTGCAGCATTGTAGACTCTTCCCAGGCTCTTTGGGACAAGCACACCACTATGCCCAAGTTTGCAAACAAGGAAAAACTGTAGACTAAAGTTGTGTGTGTGCACACGTGGGCCAGACGACAACCTGGACATCATTCTTTTGACTCCGCTGACTTTTCTTTTGAGACAATATCTCTTATTGACCCGGATCTCAATAATTAGGTGAGGCTGCTGGCTGGCCAGCAGGTCCTGAGGATCTGTCCTTATGTCCCCTGGAATTATAAACACATGCCACCAGGCCAGGCTTCCTACATGAGTACTGGGCACTGAACCCACATCATATAATTTCTGAGGCAAGCACTTCCCTCACTAAGCTGTCTGCCCAGCCCCAGATTAGAGAGCTATTAAACAACTTACCCAAGAGATGCTAACAGCACCATTAAAGAAGGCTCAGTCTGATGGGAGCAAAAACAATAAAATACACAGACAGACTTGATACACCAAATAACCAGTGGCTTCCAAGCAAAGAAGCAAAGAAGAGTTTTAGAAATCATATATATATATACATATATGTTTTAGAGGAAATCAAGTTACAAATCCTCCATGATCCCAGTTCAGCTCACAATCCTTCCTGCCACACACGTCGACAAACTGCTTCTCTGTCTTTCTAACTGAGGCATATGCTTCCAAGTGTGGCTGACAGGAAATTAATATTAATGACGCTCAGAAGCAGATGGCTCACAGCGCAGGTGAGAGACCAACAAGCAACTCATTCTTCTGAAAGTGCGATGCAAACATGAAATGTTTTTATGAAACCAAAACCCTCTCAACAGAGCAGTTTTACCAGAATACCATAAAGACTACATGTGCACGCACACGTGTGTGTGTGTGTGTGTGTGTGTGTGTGTGTATGTGTGTGTGTATTTTAAATTATATTTAAATATGCACAGCCTTCATTCTATAAGGCCAGGTCAACCAAATATTGTCAAACTGGCCAGTGGCATTATACTAAATATAATAAACATACTAAGTATAATTATTTATATTTATATAATATATAATATATGATAAAGCACTCAGTAATGGCATGATTTAATATTTTTATGTTGTTCAGATATAGTGCACCATTAATAGATCTCATTCCTTTACACTGCAGGAATGCTGAATTAATCATCATTAATTAGACAAGTTTAGCTAAGGAAAGTTTATTTTGAAGGCCTTATGCCTGATATTTCCATTCCATTTTAGTGGCATCTTTCTGTATGTATTTCCTAAATTAAAGTAGCCTCCCATGGCATTACTGTAAGGCCACTGTCAACCTTACTTTGCGACCCTTCATTAGTTAATGCTATTAGTTTGACTTAATATTTCTTATTAAAAAAGAAGAGTTGTATTTCTTATTAAAAATTTCCGCTAATCACTTTAAATTCGTATGTATTTACTCTAAACCATTCAACCCCAAATTTCTTCAAAGTACTTAAAGGCATAAAGGAAGTTCCATATTCACATAAATATGAAAAGTACAGATTAGCACTCACGGATGCAAACTTGGCAAAGGAAAATAGTATTTGATGATATCTCCAAAAACTAAATGCCCTGTTTCAGGATGCAGACATACCTACAGGACACTTCCCGGGATCCACTTCCCCCTCGGCTCCTCACTGGCACGGGCTGGTGGTAACGGCTGATTCATTAATTGGCAGAATGATGTGTCAGCTGCAAAGTTTATCTGCACATTTTCCCCCGGCTAAACGCTGGACACGTGGTAATCACTTTGTGTGTTCTAAGTGTGCTTACAGAGTAGTCTGCCATAACCGAATCAGCCTATGGCTGCACAGCTGCTTTGACAAGACTTTCTGAGTGTCTCACAGTTCAATAGATGCTGCAAGCCATTTTCATCCTGTGATCTCTAGCATGTACCTTACTTTGAGTATCTTATGTCTTCCCATAGAGGCTTTATGAAGAAGGTACTTTTAAATATGGAAAAATTGGAGGCAAACATGAATTTTTTTTTTTTTTTAATGAAACCAAAACCCTCTCAACAGAGAAGTTTTACCAGAACACCATAAAGACTACAGGAGAGCTGCGATGTCCGGAGAAGTAATTGAGAGGTCAAAAGCGAAGGCAGGTTGCAACACCTAAACGCTGAGGCTTCCTCTGTACTGACTACACACGCTGGTTCGTGAGCACAAACCAGAGTGTACTCATACCGGGAAGGGAGTTTGCTAGAGAGGAAGTGTGTTAAGCGCTGCTCACGATACCTTTCCTTCTTCATCACATGGAGTATGGATCTGAAAATAGTCTTTGGTAGTGCAGGGTGGACGGTCCACACACTCACTGGCCCCTTCCTCTGTAACACACACACACACAAAGCACTTCAGAAATGGACCAATTTCTTCGTGACCGTAAGGGGAAAAAAATTAACATTAAAACACAAAAAGCGTGCTAACACGTAAAAAAAAAAAAAAAAAAAAAAATCACTGCACTAGAGTAGTTTAGGCAGAACTAGCCAAGCCTTAAGCAAATAAAGGTTTGTATTTTTATTTTCCCTGGATGGAGGATAAATGTTTCTGTGATACATCTGCATCATAGTGGCTGTTCCCAGAAGATATTAGATTTTTCCTATATTATCACTGAACATTGGTAGTCTGGAACAAATTAAAAATTCCTAAGTACATCACTACAGTCTCTATGGTAACAAACGACGTGAATGGGAAACAGTTGGCTAAATTGATTCAAATGCCTATGTACCAGTCAGCTATAAAGTATGGAATAAAGGAAGTCATAAAGGGAGAGAGTCATGCAGAGAAGGACGCTGGGATGTCTATTGTCCTCAACATGCATTCATTTCATCGCATTGGTGTGTGGCCCGTCATGGCTACCACACTTACTCTACCGTGTGAGGCACACCTGACCAAGATTAACAGGGAAAGAGAAGAACACAACGTGTCAATTAACCTTACCTGAAAATTGGGAGTCCCCCCTACACCTTATGCATTCTTTAGCGCCCTTCTCAGAATAGGTGTTTCTGGGGCACATTTGGCAGTTAAACGAGCCTGGTTTGTTGCTGAAAGTGCCTGGCTTACATGGGAAGCACTCTGAGGTGTACGCCACCCCTGTGTGGAAAGGAAAAACAGGGCTTGGGAGAGAGAACCCAGTACAATAAACACCCGCTTGTACATTAGAACCTACTTGCTCCTACTGCACAGAAGAAAGAAATATTAATAGAAAATTGAGCCTAAATTATTTATTTACTTGGAACAAGGGAAGATCGACAATGTGCAAGCAAAGTAGGAAAGACCCTAGAAACGGATATTGGTTTGTAATTCCAGCTTTGTCCAGCAGATGTCCCAATGACTAATGAGTTAACATCTCAGGAGCAGGCACAGAGGAGGCAGCAGAACATAGAAGATTTTAATAAAGAAGAATTGCTGCCTTGACTAGATGAACTCGACTTGAGAATGAGCCATGACAGGGTTTACTGGTGGCTCAGTTGAGCCAGAAGGGACCCATCTGGTTCAGAAAGGCACAAGAGGTTTAGGAAACAGCCAGACTTTCATTATTTTTATGGCTATAACAATGATTAGATTATCAAGCATAATTTACATATCTTTAATGAGTAATTGGCTCTTGTAAACAAATACACTTTTGTTTTCTTTAAAAAACACTGAAGATCGGCATTGTGCTTACTGCTTTACACCTACTAAATAACTCAGTCTGAGGGTAGAAAAGAGAAAAAGAAAAAGCTGATTAATCAATTTGGTGGACATAAAATTAAAATTAAAGTCTTTAGACATGCATAACACCTGACATTAATTTGTCTTTATTATAAACCCTTAGGTCAGTTAAACCAACACTCTAACAAACATTTCAATAATACAATTGGACTAGTGAGTACTGAGGCACATAGCTATGAAATACCTTCAATGGTGATGTTTTTCACCAGCACAGGCTTGACTGCCTTAGAACCCATAAGGATGCCTGTTGTCCTCCAGTACAGAATGTTTGTGCCTGATTTCAGCATTACCTACAGAAAGAAACACAAGCCACTCAGGTCAAACCAGGCATTTCCAGGCACAGCCTAAAAGTACTCACTTATATCCTCTTTTAATTCCTTATATTAACACCATTAGAATACAATTAACAAATTTAAATACTCTTAATTTCAGCCAAAGCTATAACGAAGTTGTTTTAAAATAAAAAATACAACACTCTGATGATCCGCAAATATACAAAGAAAGAAACTATGTCTAAACAAAAGATAAACATGTTTTTAAACTTCAAAGTTGTGGCTTATACACAGAAAGGTTCTATCATAAAGGGTAAATCAGCCACAGTGTGATAGGAACAAGAGAAAACACACTTTTTTTATAGGTAGCTTGATTTAACTTTGACTTGAGAAATTATATGACACTAACATTTGCTTCCTTTGCCACTGGGACATTTTCTCTATATAAACCAAACTAATTTTCTAACAAATTTCTTGCTCATGCAGGTAACTGACCCAAAGTCAAGAGGTCTTTGCTTCCTCATTTGATACCTTTATTCTTCTTTACACCCTGACCAATGACATTCAAGCTACAGATATAGCAATCTGCCTGATTACAACAGCCTGGCAGAGATGCAGAGAACTAGGACATTCCACACATTCCTGTTGTATTCAGTCTTCAAAGGTGAAGACCGATTCCCTGCTGCCAAAGCCCCACCAACCGGTTGTTGAAGTGAATGGACCTTAAGTGGTACTAATCTTACTTTCAAGCACAGGATAAAAAATGCGCCTGAAAGTCTGGATTGTGTAGACTCAAGGATGAGGGAGTTTCTATGAACTCAAAGACTAGAATGGTAGTCAGAACTCAGGTTCCACACTGGAGGCTCTATCTTGGCCCTTCCTGTCACCATCTCTGATACAGGAAGATTGTTCTCATTTCTAAAATGAAAGAAAGAACAGCCACAAAGATATCAACCAACCCATCTACAGAAATACAGCTCTAATATAGAGCCGGGTTTTAAAACCATGCCTCCCTCCAAAGGGACAGTGTCACAGATAACCTGAGATGTGCTGAAACATGTCATCTGAGCACGTTGGATGCAAGCCTTCAAAGAGATGTGCTGGACAGAGGTAAACTTTATACTACGTAACCAGAAAGGGTAGGCTTTGGACCAGCAGGTAGCAAACATATAGAAAGTAAGTTGAAATCCCAAAAGTGAATATATCTTGTGACAATCAGATCTATCCAATGATAGAGGCTGCAAAAGGCCCAAAAAGCAAACCCGGAAAATAACTTCCTAAAGACAATGGCAGAGAACAAGAAATGAAGTGATTCATGGTCTTTCTAATGACCAGAGGCACTGGCCTACGCCCTGTGACAGACACACTTGTAAATTTGCATTCCCAAGCTTTATAACCTCGTATATTAGTTTGGAATAGCTTTCTAAACTGCTGCGTCCCACTTCAAGGAGACGACGGCTGAGGAGAGAGAGGCATGGGAAAGCATTCTAAGGGAAAAGACAGGAAAACATCTGAAATTTTCAATGTGAGTCTATGAAACACAAGGGCAGTTTCTTCACTCAATGGAGCTTATCTAAAGTAGCAGACCCTCTTTTCTTAGACTGAACCCTTAGAAATAGTTGGGAAATGAAAGGCGAGGAGTGGCTGGTGAAAGCCACAAAAAGAAGAAAGGCACAAAAAGAGACTTACAGAATGGGAGCCCCATTCTCCACTGTCTGTGAGTTTCACCCATTTGTCGGTGGTGGCGTCCATCTCCTGGCACTGGTCATTCTGAATCTGGGAGTTGAACACAAGGGTGTCAGTCATGCTTTCGGAATGACAGCTTTCATTCATGTCTGTCGCCGGCACATGCCGCAAGCACGCCCTTCAAGCCATTTTAAACAACAAACTAAGTAATCTCCAACAAGCAACACACCAAGACCACTGGAGACTGCGCTCCAATTGTACGTGAGGGAGCGATCCTGACTAAACCACCTCAAAATGCCAGGCTGTTAGGAGAGGGAGAAGAATTACCACTGGAAAGTCCTTACAAAACCTTCACCCAACTTCCTCAAATGTTTTAATAACTCACATTCGCCATGCAAGTTTGAGTTTAAAAGCAAAGTCTATTGTATTTAATTTAAATTCTTCTCTCTTTTTTAATTTTTTTAGAATTTCACACGTGAGTATGCTTTATTTAAATCATTTTCACTTCTCCTTCTCTCCCTAAAAGCCCTTCCTACACATCCCCACCTACTTTGGAATTCCCTACCTCTTCTTCTGTATTTACCGTACATATATAAACACTTACGGAGACCACAGTGCTATTCATATGTAAACATGTTTAAGGATGAATACTTGGGAATTTTGCAACCTATTAGGGGGTTACAGCCTGGAGAAAACTGATTCTCCCTCATGCAGCAGCGATTGATTGATGGCAGGCTGCTGCGTGAGGGGGAATCAGATTTCCACCTAGGGGAGAGGCCCTGTAGACGCCTCCCTTTCCTCATTGGCATGTTGACTGGGGCAGTCATTATTCAGGTCTTAGTCAGGCAGACACACTATTAAGATTTTACTGGTGCAGCTTCTCTGTCATGTTTGGGTGTCACTATCTCACAGCAGGTGTCCTGAAATTTGGACTCTTAAAATCTTTCTGATCCCTCTTCTGCAATGTCCCCTGAGCCTTAGGGGTGGGGGTTGTGCAGTAGGTGTATCAACTGGGAATGGGCACCCCACAGTCTCTTATTCTCTGCATTTTCACCAGTTGTCCATCTTGGTTATAACTTGCATCTGCTGAAAAAAAAATTTTTTTTTCTTCTTTGATAAAGAGTGAGAGCTACATTTATCTGTGAACGTCATTGTCAGCAGTAAAATTTTAAATTAGCAAATAAAGTTTGCTTAGGTGGCTGGTTTCCCAGAATGTAATCTAAATGTATAGTTAAGCGGTTATGGACAAAATCTAAGTCTTCTGTAATGAGGTAAATATTAATACAAAATCTGAAACCTTTTGTAATGGAGTAAATATTAATCATTTACCATGCCAGTAAAGATGACTAGATTTTTCATATTTAACATCTTAAACTCTCTGGCTAATCCTTCAAAAATGCTTAGAGGTTAGGATACCATTATTTTCAGCTACAAAATGTACAGAGATACCTAAATGCCTAGCCATCGTTCTGGTTCGGCAATATAGTCAGCAGCAAAGTGGAGTCGGATCATGCCACATATACAAAGCAACTGCCAAGTCTCTTTCTCTTCTTGAAATTATTCTTTCTGCCTTAGTTATTTTCCTATCTGTCATGAAGCTTAAAGTATTCTCATGAAGGAACTTTCTAAAGGCTTATTAACTAGACAGCAGTTCCACTTGCGATCTCCATATCAAGAGAATAAATATCCAATTTATATTTAATTGAATTTGTGCCCCATTTCTCCTCTGACCATCATGGTCACCGTGACACCAGTGTTAAGCCATTTCTTAGGAGTTATAGGCTCTGAGTATACCTTGAATGAACAAATAATAGGCAAGCTTTTTCACACGTGAAAGCAGTCATCATGTGATTGTGACACTCCCCACCAGTCTGGGGAAGTAAATCCCATTATTTTGAAAGTAGTTAAGGTGAATCATGGACCAATACCTTCTCTAGGTTTCAGCTTCATCATTTTGAAAAGACATGGTAGTTCTGAGTGAGTTTCCCTTGGTGCTCAAACTCAACTCTTCAATACTTCAATCTATACACTGTTAGTATATTTTTCTCTGTGTCCACCTACACCTTTTTTATCTTTAAACATTTCCTTTTCATTGCTTACTAACGACGAATGACTGAGAGGTTCGAACTTCTGAGTCATAATCTATAAACTCGAAACTCCAATGAAAGGATCAGCACAAGCTTGCCACCCCTTTCAGCGTCTAAACAAGGACACTGACATCCCTGACAAGAGGTAATGAAATGTTATACCTTAAAAGCACCTTTACTGAATGCTCTCAAGGGACTTGTTGGGAAATACAAAGGAGCTGCCCATTCACAACAATCAGGCCGTTGTCTCACTTCCGAATTCTATTTCATTTTCTGGAATATCATTGAAATGTTCCAAGAAATGCTCATTCATTCTCACAAGCTATTTTGCAAATAAGATATACTTTAAAAAGAAAATCTGTCTAAATGTTGCTTAGCATCCTCAAACATCAAAGGGTATCCATACTGGAAGTTCCGGGAAGGGCCTTATCAAACGGTCCACTTCAGAGAAGGGAGCGTTGACGGCCGGAAAGTTTGTCTAACTGCTCAAGAACAGAGAGCTAATAATTACAGAGTTTCAACAAGAGCCGGATCTCTTTAGTTCAAAGGTAAGGCATACTCATTCATGGGAAATATCTCTTGCTATCAAATTTTTGATACAGAAACCACAGTTACTGATTTAGAAATAATCATCACCTAGAGCAATATGAATTTGTTTTAGAATTGTTTGCATATTCTTTTCTTAAAATCTGGATCACAGCAATATTTTTTCCCAACGACAGCAAAACAAACATTGTGATAGACTAAGATCAGAAAGGAGAGGAGAACCTCCCCTATCAGTGAACTTGGGGAGGGGCATGCATGCAGAAACGGGAGGGAGGGTGGGATCGGGAGGGGAAGAGGGAGGGGCTTATGGGCGGATACAAAGTGAATAAAGTGTAATTAATAAAAAAGAAAAAAAGAAAAAAAAAACATTGTACTCAGTGTGAGATCATCTGAAAACATTTTCTCAAGAATTCAAGTTACTGTCATAATACATATTACAATATCTGCTATAGCTATGTTAGTTAAATAGCCTTAGTATTTCTTACATTAGTGTATGACTACATCATAGATTCTGTATAGTCATTAGCATATGACTATATCTTAGATACTTATACTCATGACAGGCACATCAATGATTTCATTCCATGAGTTCTTTCAGCAGTACAAAACTCAACAAAAGTACAAATTCCACAGAACCAGAACATATAGCCATCTTACTTTTTAAATAATTGTGAATAAAAAATAACCACAGTCAGTAAATAAAGGAGTATGTAATGACAACTTAATGGGGGATTACTTGCTACACAACCATGATGGGGACATCTTCAGATCCCCTGTGCATTTAAAAGATGGCTGTGGCAGCACACATCTCTAACCTGAGTTGGCAGATGAGAGAAAGGCAGAACCTCAGAGTTAGCTGGCCAGGCATACAGCTGAATCTGTGCGCTCGGGTTCAGTGAGACACTTCTCTGCTTCAAAATACTAGAGTGGAGGATGGCAGAGGAAAACAGCCAGCCCCAGTCTCTGTCCTCCACACAGGCACATGCATGTTTCTCTACACATGCACATACACATGAACGTGTAAACATTGATACTCCTCTACATACACAGTACATAGAAAAATTATAGCTTTTGTAGCAAAAAAGAAAAATGTGTGTTGGAAAACTACTTGTGACATACAGTCTAAGCCAAACGGCCACCTGATGAACATCATGAGAAGTGAAACAGCCAACATTATTCCACCACAAAGAGCTGAAGAGCAAAGAAACAATATTTGACTTGAACACAAAGCACCACAGGGGGAAAAGAAACTTTCTCTTAACGTTGAGAGGTTCGGTTAACAACCTCCAGAAAGTTAGGAGGCATAAAGAGGAATAGACAGGGAGGTTTAGAGGCCACTATATGCATGTCCCTTAAAAATCAAGTTCTATAATATGAAAAGCCTTACAAAGAACTCAAAGAAGATGTTGTTGTCCACGTATTGGTACTCAAAGAAGACATAGCCTGACTTCTTCAGGTGCACGGCGTAGATCAGCGACACAGTGCAGTCGTCGCGGTTAGACTCTATGTAGTTTCCACGAGGGAGCCAAGAAGAGCTGTAGAGACAGAATTGAAAGTCTGCTGTAGGAGCTCAGAAACCTCTTCTAGCTACCCACAATTCTTTGGCCAAGAATTGGGAGTAGATTTCATGGGCAACATAAAGAGGATAACAGCAGCTTTGCTAAAACTCAAAGGTTCAACTCCACGACTGAGAAGTTTATTTTTTACTTAATTTAAATTCATTTTAATTAAAATGATTAGAACCTTTCTTCCCCTTTCCTTTCTTCCCTCCAAGCCTTCCTATGTCCTCTCCTTCCAACCCTTCCCATGTGTACCTCCTTAATACTTCACAAATTGCCCTCAAAACAATAACAGCACCAGTAGACATAGAAGAAATTCATGTACAAAAAACTACAACTAGAATTACTCTTTCAAACAACATCTGAATTTGACTTATACACACACACACACACACACACACACACACACAGAGCAGGTCCATGGAAAGTAATAGTGTCATTAAATGCTAAATATCTGGGTTAACATATAAATTTTTATAATCTTTGCCCTTTTAAGTTGTTGAAGAAGACGTGATAGAAGCCAAAGCCTTTCCAATCACTGAGTTAAAGCTGGATCTCCTAAAGCAACCTAAGAATGTCTTAAAAGCAATGGCCGTTTCAAATTGAAGATTGGTATGTGTCAGGGTTTACAGCGCACTTCACGCTGACAGAAGCACCAAGAGAGGTATGCAAATGTTCATGACTGTTCCATTTGTAACAATCTATAAGATAAAACCCTCTCTACACCACAGAGGCCACACTGTAATGTGCAGACTTCAAAACCTAGGGTTAGCCAATAGAGCCTAACACAAAAATCACCAAGCAGAACAGGAAAAAATGCCATTTAAAAAAAATGACACTTTTCAAATTTTAAATCTCTAATTATCAAATACCATTAAGACAATAAAAAGTCAAAAGCCACGGACCTGAAGGACATAACACAAACACACACCCGTGTATATTTCATAGATACACCCACGTAAGTCTCATGTCCATAATATATAAACGAGTTCTTGGGCTCAATAATTAAGTCACCAATATGACCCAATTGATTAAAAAGAAATAAATAGGATATAATGCCAGATGGGTGGGGGCAAGAAGAAAATAATATCAAACTAAAATTTATGTTCAGACGATTAGTATATTAAAGAAACTATATTGAAAAAAGTCTGCTTATCATGTATATTGTCCTTGATGAATAACCTAGTCCATCTAGAAAAAAGAGTGCTATGTCAATATTTAAATTCACCAAAACAAAGACTTGGTGCCCCATCCCATGCTGCTAGCACCTTCCTCTAAGGTACTTTTATGCATGCACGCTGCTGTGCTTTGCCAGGTCTATGCGGAGATGAATCGGCAGTTTAAGAGGACTGAACATTGGTGGTGGCTCTGTAATGGTTAATTTTGTTTGTTAATGTGACTAAACAAAGAAAAGACTAACACGCACCTTTTGGTGTATCTGAGCAAGCTTTATCAGAGACAATTCAGTCATAAGAGTTTTGATCTAATAACCCATGAACGGATTCAAATTCTGAGCAGATTGCTGAGAGATAGAGAAGGTTGGATGGTAGACCAGGGTAGCTTGTGGTCACTGAGGGTATGCTCTTGGGGGCTGTATCTTGTCCTGGCTCCTATTTGTGGCTGATCCTTTCTGTTCTGCTTGCTGTCTGCTGTGAGTTGTGCTCTCCCACCCCCAAACCCCATAGTGTGTACTAAAGCCATGAACAAAACAAGTCTTTCCTCTTTTCCTCTTTTCATGAAAAGCCGTGTAGAGTCAGGGGAGTTGAGACCTCAGAAAAGGATTAATACCTTTCTCACTGAATGTTTCTCTCTTCACACATGCCAGCCTGTGCCTTCGTTTTCAACCATGATTTGGAGTTATATGAAGCCCTCACCAGATGTCAACATGATGCTCTGGGGCTTGCAGAACTAAGCTAAATAAATCTCAATGAAAGTCCCTCAGTCTCAGGTACTGTAAAAATAAAAATGCATAGAATACACACACACACACACACACACACACACACACACACACACACACACACTTAGAACTATCTCATTCTCTAAAGAGGAAAATAAATCATTGCCATTCAGCTGAGAGAGCCTAGGAGAGGACTGAAGAAAAGAAAGTGGAAGGAGAAAGAGGTGAGTGGGGAGAAGCCAAGAAACACATCTATTTGCTCAGCTAAATAATGATAAAGACATTGGGTTCCTGGTGGAGCATTCTTGTCAGAAAGCAGCCAGAGGATACCAATTTTACCACCTAAGGTTTAATTTTCCTAAACACAGCCACATTACAGGAAATGCTGCATAGTCAATACAGAGAACAGAAAACATAAGTAAATAAATAAATTATCTTTTTCTCCAAGACAATTTAACATTTCTCCAGTGCTGCCATAGGCAAAGCCAATGATCACTTAGCAATTAAGCAAAGGACCTTTCCACCTTGGATTCGAAACCCACTCTTCTAGAAAATAATCAAGGTCTAAATAAAGGCCAAGCATTCAAAGAAAAGAAAAAAAAATAAACGTGAATTTTTTCTTTAAAAAGGGAGAGTGGTTAATAGAAACACTACTGCCTTAAGTTTGACTCTAAATATAGGACAATAAGCTCGTTTTTTCTAATAGCTCTACTGCATTTTGCACACAGTATCTACTATATTGTGAGACCAATTATTTTCTGATTAGAATTAGCTACGTTCTTTGTAGTGACTGTCTAAGAAATACTCCTCTTCTGAGATGTTCCCTGAGCCTTAGGTATGGGGCTTCTGTTAGAATTATATCAACTGACTGTAATAGTTTCATAGACGATCTTTAAAAAAGCTTCTCGGATGAAAGGTGGAAGCTAAACTTATCCACAGATATAAGCATAAGTGTTTAGACTATGGTTAGAAATTATACTGGTTTAGGAAAGTGGCAGTAATAGGTTCTCCTCTGGGGACCATGACCTCATCAATCACGAATGGGCTACTGACACTCAGAGGCACAAATTCCCTTCTACCGAGCAGGGCCTGAGCCCAATTAGATAGCTGCTGATGGTAAGACACAAGTGTCACTATGGCACTGTTGAACTGTCTTGCCATGATAGTCACTGTTGGAGTTAATAGGTTTGACAGCTGAGCAGACTGCTGATCGCTTTCCTCTATTGTCAGCTTGCATAGCTCCTTCAGATACTATGAAAGCTTGTCCTCGGCAAGAAGTTTCCTGGTCAGCGCCAGCTCAATTCCCCCAGGGCTAAAGTACGTTGTGTCTTCAGCAGTCAAATCTTACCTTCAGGTTTGGGGAAGCAATCGAGGACGATGATAATAGCCTATATTTGATGAGGAGGGGTCTCTTGGACTCCACTGAGCCCCCAAAAAATATCAAGGGGCAAATTTCCATACCTGGGTGTTTATTAGATGTCTAAGGCTCTTGAAGGTAGGGAGCGTTAAAACCCAAGTGATGTGACGTCACTGTGTGTGTGTGTGTGTGTGTGTGTGTGTGTGTGTGTGTGTGTGTTTTAGTGCATATACATTGCTGAAGACAGTGGGGAGATTGTAAGAGCCAGAAAACCAGGACATCTGCTGTACAGTAGAAGCATCTTCAATATATGAAAGGGTAGCTGTACCCACAAAATCTCAACAATATGATTGCCTATACAATGTCTGCACCATGACAAAAAAAAACAACACACCAATTAACATGACAGTGTGGATGAGAGAAATCTCTCAATACCCCATTCCTAGATAAAGAACTATAGGAAATTAATGACTGCTCAAAGAAGGAAAGTCAGTCTTTCTTAAGGATGAGCACCATTAAACTCTCCAATCCCAAATGTTCAGGTCTAAAACACACACACATTTGAACAATGATAAATAGACTCAGCATATATAATATATATTATATATATAATTACAGACATATAGATCTCCCCACAGGGATTTATTTATTAAAGAAAACGAGGTCAAGAATTTGAAAGGGGTTGGGGGAACACAGGTGGAATTAGAGGGAGGATCAGGGGTTAGAAATTATGTAAATACAGATCTCACTTATGAAATCCTCTAAAAAATTTACAATCCTTTCTCCCGAACTCATCTGAAATCCCCATCAGTACTAAACTCTCCTCATTTTTTTTTTTCCTAGAAAAGGGTAACTACACCTTTGTCAAATCTCCAAAGTCCAAGGGTTCCTTTGGGGTCTTACTTGTTACAGCCATCTGGCCTGTTGTCAGAAGGGCCCACCACAGTGTCCATAAATGTTGCGACGTTGGAAAATCCTGCCGGCAACTCATCCCATTCATCAAATTTGATGCCACTGCCCAGGGAGTAGGTGCCTTCAGCACACTTGCTGCATACCTGGTTCTTCATTTCTAGATACTCTCCAGAAGCACAGGAGAAAGCTGTAAAGCAGAAGAGAAAAAGCCATTATCATTGGCCCCTTCCATTAACTGTCTCTCCTTCAGACTGTCTGCAGAATTATTTTGTATAAAACTCGGATCATATCCAACCCTAAGTAAAGCCTTCCAGTGTCTTCATCACTGTTGCTCTTTGTATTTCACAATCTGCCTCAACCTATTTTTACACTATTCAACTTTGCTCCATCCTCTTTGGATCAAAACAAAATGCATATAAATCCTCTCGTCTTATACTGTGGCTTTTCTTTCCAGACATGTTGGACAAATGACCTTCTATATCTGGACAACTCCAGTTCCTATGTAAAAATGATCATCTTCATGACAGATCACCCCACCCCACTCATCCCAGATAGTCATCTGTGGCCCCCCTTCTATGGCCTAACAGCCAACCCCCTCAGCACCTCTGCTAAGGTACACAGAGAGACTACTGAAGAAGGGACATGCTGCTTGGTCTCCACAGAAACAAGGGTCATTATTTTGGCATTCCTAGTTGTGTGTAGCATATGCTAAGCCCAGATGCAATGCTGATCCAGTGAAGAGCGAATCAGGAAAGTCATACGGGAGAGCAGTGAGGTAGCTATGTAAAAAAGCTATCTCCACTCAGAAGCCTTTCAACATCTTCCACATTTCAATATTCACAATGGCAACCTGGACATTTACACCAGCCCCATCCGTGTCTGATGCCAAGTTCTCTGCCTTTTTAGGAGCTCCATTAAGCCAGTGGGTCTGCTGCTAAGTTAGTATTCATTCAACAAATGCAAATCAACATGTCCAAAGTACATGGCCCTGTGAGGGGTGGAATTAGAGCTCAAGCCTAGAAAGGGGCTATCTAATCCCTTAATCGGGACATTAAAGAACTAAGAACAAAATAAAATGTCTAAATTAGCAGATGAAAAGAAATCTCTCAGCCCAGTGAGGCAGCAAAGCCTCGCAGGCAGGCATGTCCCCCTTTTAACACAGTGGAGGAATTAATCAGAAATAAAAACAAGCTGTCTTTGAAAAAAACTAATTAAGGAACTAGAGCTCAAACCCACACTCATCCACCTACTTGCCCACTAAAGTAATAATGATTCTCTTTAGAAAAGCTTCACAGTGCTGTTCAGCGAACTTTTAACATTAAACCAACACCCTGAAGTCAGTAAAACAACAGAATATCAGCAAAGGCCAGGCAGAAAATACTGCATATTAACTATGACACCAAAATTATCCTGGAGAAGAGGAAGGAAGACCATCTTGGAACAAGGATGTAATACCTTTTCTTAATCTTGTGATACTGGTCTCTTCAGGCATTTGTTTCTGAGAGAGCGACCCCAGCAGCTACCTCACATTTTAACACCTCACAGAGTTAAGGAAATGAAACAAAGCACAGAGTAGTCACCAGAACTAGCGTGTCACACAACACACGCTCGCCGTGGGCTGCTCGTGTCAGGATGAGAACAACCAGCAAAGAAACAGGGTTACGGAAAACAGTTTCTTTTAGTTTCAGTGAGTTGAAGGCCTTCTAGTAAGCTCAGATTCAAATAACAGTCCTCTAATATGATAACCAATGTCACAAGCAATAAAGCAGCATTAAAAATTATCTTGGAGGCAGCTTACTCTGGAATCAAAAATTGGTCTTTTAAATTGATCGGCAGTTAATGAAGATGTTTTATTTCACCCTACAGTTTATAGTCCTTCATGACGGGAAGTTAGGGAAGGATCCCAAGCCAGAAACATGGAGGCAGGATCTGAATCAGAGACCATGGAGGACTGCTGCTTACTGGCTTTCTCTATGGTTTGCTTAGTTTGCTTCCTTATAGAACCCAGGACCACCAGCCCAGGGATGGCAGAACCCACAGTGGACTGGGTTCTTTCACATTAATCAATAATAATAATAATAATAATAAATGTCCCATAATGCCTACAGTCCAATCTGACGAAAGCAATTCCTTATTTGAGGTCTCCTCCTCACAGATGACTCTAGCTTGTTCCTAGTTAACAAAAAAAAAAAAAAAAACTAAAACTAGTACATTAGGCTTGTAAATTATTGTGAAAGCACTAAGTGTATGGGTTTGAGGGTCATAAATCAATTATGTAAACACAGAACCCATAAATCATGAGTACTGACTGTATTTGTAATAGACTCATGAAGGAGGAAGCTATTATGTACATACACCAAGTAAGAAACCGAGCCACAGAACATTTAAATACCCTGATTCCCCAGCTACCTAATCAGCAGACCGCCAAATAATATTTAGAGTCTAGCTTGCTTGGTTCTAAAAGCACTAACCTACCTTAAAGGAAGAGCACGTCAAACAATAACAGTGACCAAAGGAGAAGCAATTTTAACTAATTCGATACCATCTTTCACACCATAAAACATCTGCACCATAAAACAATAATTATTTCTCCCTCTCATGTTTGTTGTAGAACTTTTCATATGGTAAACCTAAAACATTCATTTGAGAACTATTTTGCAAACTCCTAACTTCTATAAGTCTAATAGCTTTGTTCATGGATGGAAGATAAAAGTAATATCCATCTCAGAAAAATGTGTTAACAGGTGCATGGAGCATTGTTCAATATCCCTGGCATATGCTACAAATAATTGTATTGGACCCTACTCCTATCAGGGACCTGTAAATAATAACACTGCTACCAGTTCGATGATAACTTTTCTCTACAAAACTGCTGTGCACTCCAAGTTCAACGGGTATTGGGCCTTTACAGGAAAGCTAAAATGTTCCAAAGTCTTTTGTCTTTTAATCATTTGTTTCTCTTCAGTCTTTTTTTTTTTTTTCATCCTGGCAGGCACATATCAAAGGAAGAACTACACATTCTGATTAAAATTTAATTGATTTCACACGATTGTACTGAGAGTTAGCAATGCCTACCTCTGCTAGCAGCCACAGCATCTGCTTTTCTGATAATTGCAAAGTCTCATTCACTTTCTCTTTCAACACTGACCTTGGCATTCAGGCTTTAATTGAACTCTGTGGCCCACAGTTTCAGTGACTACATGCTTGGTTTTGTCGTTGTTGCGTATTTGTCTGTTAGTATAACAGACTTTAATTAGTTAATTAGTTAGTATAACAGACTTTAATTAGGCAGGATGGTAGAATTTTTTTCTGGATATTAGCTGTTGTCTGAATTAACTATATTTCATCTTAATTAATTGGTCATTTCTAAAGTAAAAACTAGCTTCTTTCAACAACCTTGCAATCCTACAACAACTGAATCAAACTGACAATTAGCAAACTCTAGAGTTTTGGAAAAAGGACTATATTAGTTTTTCACTGCTTGGGTAAAATACTTAAGCAAAACAAATTTTAAAAAACATGGATTAATTATGGCTTACTTTCTCAAGTTGGTCCATCATGGTAGGAAGAGCATGGCAGAACAGATTTCATCACATCATGGTGGGCAATAACTGAGAGAATGCTTACTTTTACACTCAGAACTGCTCTTGGCTGATCTGCTAGGAACTTCAGAATTCAGTCACACTAAGAAGAATAGAAAGCAGAAAGGGGTGGGGGGAAGGAAGGGAGGAACAAACAGACAGACAGACAGACAGACAGACTTTCTTGTCTAAGGCTGCCATTAGGCAGCAGTGGTCTCAGTCTGGGATTTCAAAGTACTTTATCACAGCAGCAACTGGAAGAGAGATATTTGAAACTCAAGCCCCTAAAGTCCATGCTTAAGCAGGACATCAAACACTCACTCACTCACCACTCTCTCTGCCTCTACTTTCCTGACATTTATTGTACAACTGTGTATCTGAAAGGACCCAAATACACAAGAAGCAGATATAGAAGATGCTTTATTCGTCTGTCACCAAACAACAAAGCCATGGGCAGCTTTCTTGATCCTATAAGTTCCTATTCTTTTACATTCCATCAAGAACATCCCATCCTCTTCATAGGTCTGCTTGGGAACTCAATAAGAGACTAGAAAAACTAAAGTCTCTATGGGAAATAGAGCGTGATATAGAAAGTCAAGACACTACGGTAATTATGCAAGTATAATGCGCCAAGGAACAGTTATTAAATTGAATTGCTTTTATGCTGACTATCCTCTGATTTATGTCTATCAATAAAAAGTCTATTTTTAATCTTTTTATCACAGCAACTCTTGGTTTTAGTTTTTCCTCCATCTAGAGACCTCATGCTTTAAAAGACTATGGCTATAAATTACATGTACTCATAATTTATTTATTTTTGCTATTTTCATTCCAATTATTTCATTACTAAAATGTGTTTTCTGGGCCACAAACAGCAGTAAGAGTAGCCATAAAAGAATTTTCAGTTTGCTTGTTTAGTGAGATTATATCTCACTATGTAATCTTATTATAGTTTTTCACTGCTTGGACATAATTTAATATAATAATGTAAATAATAATAATAATATAAATTTAAGCAGCAGTACTCTTTAGTACTTACATTTGGACAGTTAAAAATTAGGCATCAGGCATGTGGCAGCAAATAAGAAGAAAGAATTAATTCCGCCTCTGTGGTCACAAAGCTGCTATTCTAGCCTAGTGTTCCTCAAAAGCAGTTATGGCTACCTAATCTCTCTGAGCTTAAATTCATTCTGAAGCCCATCTCATGTGTCAGTCAGACTAAGTGAATATCTAAACACAGGTAATTATATATTTATGGGGAAATGTTAAACCTAGAATCAAGAGGCGCTAGGATAGTACCTTTCTTCGATTGATTAGCCCCGTTTACTAAGATAAATACCGCTGGTATTATCGTTCTCCCTTTGCCACTGCTAATAATGGTCACTACAGATAAAGGGCTGAAGCTGGGACATGGTGACTAGGATCTAAGAGTACACTTCGCTTCCCTGGTAGTTGCCTACCAGGCTTATAATCAAAATCCTCCTAGGAAATTAAGAAGAGGGTGGGGTGTCTGGGAGAAAAAGAACAGTATTCTCAGCCCAGCATGCCCTGCTTCTCCCTGTCCTCAGAGCCAGTGATGAGGACAGCACTTCCATATTCTCCCTTT